TTGAATATGGATTTTTATTGTTTGGCTAGTTTTTCTCATGAACAACGCAAACACCTTCACTAGTCCACTTTTTAAATCAGTGAACGTTAACAATAAGATGATGGCAAGAATAGGAAATAAATACTGGTATATGTTTGGGATCTACTCTAGCTATTTTGCTGCCCTAGGTCTATAGTTTGGCTCATTTTTCACTTTCATAAGGATTTTTAAAAGGCGTCCTCTTGGATTTTTTTCTTCTTTGTGTTTTCCATTTATGATTTTCAGCCCCAGACATTATTTTTCTGGGATATTTTCATTTTTATTTCATGTTTATGCTGTGAAATTATATTTAAACCTCAAGTTGCATGCCAGCTCAGGAAATGTGCCATTACTACTTTGTGCTTTTCTATTGTGTTTTTTGGTAGACTTTTTGATTTTTGCATCTCTTAAAATTTGGTGTCCCTAGATTAGTGCCTGTTCAGCCTTAGCCTAGGAGTCAGCTCTGTATATATGTTGCTGCCAAAAATTGAAAAGTGCCAGTTACTGTATATGCTAAATTTTACATAATTACAGTGCCTGCTTATTTATACTTATACCTGCCCGTTATGAATGTGACATACCTGAAAAGTCCAATCTCACAAAACAAACTTGCCATAAAGGGACAGATTTACACCATTTAAGATACTGTTGGGGCTTTTCCAACAAAAGGAGTAGTAGTAGGGGAGATTTCAGGGTGACGATGACGAAAGGTGGGGGGGGGGAAGGGTTCAGACTGAGATAATAAGCGAAAGGATTATAGAAAAAAGGGAATTTAAGATTTTTAGAACCAAGGATTGCTCAACGTTTGATGCATGTGATATGGAATGGATGATAAAGAATAAGGTGAGAATAGAATTGGAAAAAAGGAAGTGAATGGCCTGAGAAGCCAAACTGGGTCAGACCTCATTACTGCTATGGTGGAAATGTGTAGGAATACCAGATCTTACATTAGATTGGAAGATGAGAAAAGTATTCTGGAAAAAGGTAATGCAAACTTCTCCTTTTAGTTGCCAAAAAAACCTACATAGAAGCATTTGAAGCCATCAGGAGTTCTGCTTGACCTGAAAGAGACTTGACTTTTCCTTTTTAAGTTTAAGAAGCAGGGAAAAAGGCAGGTGAGACAGGTTTACATATATAGCCGTGGAAATGAAAAACAAAATCTGAATTGGCCTGTGGGTCAAGCAGAAGAAATAAATGGTAAATCAATGCCGGTCTTTGACAGTTGAGCGATGAACCTGATCTTTTCTTGGATGAAAGAGTTCCACATTTCTAGAACATGTGAATTTCTTTAACTAAAAAAAGAGTGAGGTTTCACTTCCGCATAGTTCCTCGGAAATAGAAAACATTTTTTAAAGTGGCATAAAGGAGGAAATTTCCTCCTTTGGTATTGAGGGATAGGGGAGGAAGGAGATAATTCTTTTGTAGCACATGGCTAGACATTAGAGCAAACATTTTCAAATTAGACCCTACTAATATCTGGGCATCTCAGATACTTTGCTCTAATGGGAACATAAGATCTCAGATACTTGGGATGTGTACCTTCAAAGAATATTGAAATTTTCTGTTTTCATTACACATACCGGTATTTACCGAGCTAACTAAATAAAAGATTAGTAGTAGTGACAAGCTGTATTGGAATGAGTAGAACCTATGACATGATTGGGATGAAATGGCACCCAGCGGAAATAATGTCTAAGGAGCATCGTAATAAAGCAGCCCTATGGTTTTCTGGACCATGAGTACATTTCTCATTTGGCCTTCCAGATATTTTTAGTTACAGTGCAGCAGCCCTACTCAGCATAATTAACAGTGAAGATTGAAAGGTCGTGATATCTTGAAATATTTATAAAAATAATAACAACACGATCCAAATAAATACTAATTTGGAGGGCAACATGTTTTTTTCATCTTGGAAGTACATAGTGACAATTAAATTAGATGGCGTTAAAGGAAAATTAGAGATTCATGGGAATATGGGTCTTTCAGCAGTAATTTATACCATGACAGGTTCAGAGAATCTCTGCAATAATCTTCCTAATGTGTTACAGAAGTAAATCAGTGTGCTGTGCATTCCCTTGAGACCAGAGCGTATTACTTTCTTGGAGGATAGGATTGAAGTCTAAAGTATCTTCTGGTGTAATGTAGAATTATTTTCTTGGTTTCTTCCTGGTGCAGGGGCTATCTGGGATGGCCAGGCAGAGCTTAAAGACCCCATTCTCACGATCTCCAGAGCTCCATAAGGTCTATAACCATGATGGCACGTGCCACAGGCGGCATGCAGAGCCATATCTGTAGACATACCAGCGTTGCCCTAGCTTGCTCCAGTGCGCATGCGTGCACTGGATAGCTGATTTTTGGCTGGCCCACCCATGCTGCCCTTCCCAGGCGTCTCCACATGATGCCAGGTAAGCATAGGGTTAGTGTGGAGTCTCTAGAAGGGTGTTTATCTGGTTCTGCCCCAGTGGTGGGTTCTGGATCCCATTGCAACCGGTACGGTTGCAACAGGGTCCGCGTCCACCACATGAATGTGTGCAGCGCACACATGCATCCTTACCTCTTCTGACACCTGCACAATGCTCCAGCTGCTCAGTGGAGTGTTGCGCAGGCGCTGTGTGCTCCGTGTGCGGAAGCGCCGAAGAGCTCAGATACAGGTAAGGAGCGTGGGCAGGTGGTCCCTCTGGAGTACTGTACCGGAACAGTACCCGGTGCTCCGGACAGGCACCGATACGCTCGATACCAGGGCATACCACCTGCAACCCACCACTGCTCTGCCCAGATGTAAATTTGAACTATCATTTTCGTTACAAACTATCCAGGATATTGCAATCCAATCAAACATTATGTCTTCCATAACTCTTTAAGACTTCTGTTATTTATGGAAATGATTAATTTCCTCAGTAAATATGAACTAAACTGAAAGATTTAGTATTGTCAAATGCATTTTACTTGACAAAATAGTTGCCTGAAGTCTAAGCGTTTGGTAGCATAGAAAGTAACATGCTGGTGAGATTCTCTTGGCCTACAAAATACAACACATTTGCCCTTCTGTGGAATGGCTTTTCCATTCCATGGCATTTTCTCTGCTTTGTATTCTCTTTGTGAACTGGAAAAGAAATGCTGGTTTTATATGCTATGAGCAACACCAACCAATCCCATCTTGAGTGAGTCAGTGCCTTAGATAAATTAGCTTCTTTATGGAGCAGATGAATTGAGTGAGAAGGGGGAAATATGCATATTTTGGAATATTTATTGAACAAAGGACACAAAGTGTGGATTGTATGCTTATGCAGTGGTTAATTGCATATTTCTGCATGAGGTTTACTGAACACATAAAATCTGTTCAGCTAAATGTAATCATTTTTATCTGGCTGTATCCTAACTAATACCCCCACTCCCATTGTAATTACTTTTCTAGATTAGCATAGAGAATTCCTGTAACTTCAGTATTCTGAAGTTTATAGTTGTTGTGGCCTTACTATTTTTTCATGTGGCTGAAAGACATCCAGAGGCTCAATTTGTTGATTGCCTTGCATGTAAGTTGATCACTGGCCAGGCAAGATTGGAAAAATGAAAATAGAAGGACGCCACTTCACTCACAAAGGAACAGTGATTGAGCAGCATTCTTTCTTGGCTGTAGAAAAGGCAACTCACATGCAGGGCAGGGCTTGGCACACAGCCCTACTCTCTAGAATCAGATTTAAAGATAGGTTCTAGCTCAACTTCTACCTGGTGCTCTCCAAATATGTTGTAACATTACCATATTACAAAAGGCACTAGATGGAGCATACTATATTGACTCAAAGTCAAATCATTGAACTAGTCTACCTTTTGGTCAATAAATTGGATGACCTTCATCTCAGTGACCAAGTCATCCCCACCTAACTTTCTGAAACAGGGTTTTTCGGGGGTGGTGGTGGTGGAAGTTCAGGTACCCCTTCACTAATGATTGCAGTTGCAGCCAGTGTTTCTATGGCTAAGCAGTATAGTCATAAAGCGTGACTACATTGCTAAGTGATGGCAATCCCTGAAGTCCCAATTGCCGTCATTAAATGGTCGATAGATGAGGCCATTTCCTGCCATCTCCCCACAACTATAGTCAGTAGGGAAACTGGCAGGAATTTGCATGTCCTAGACCCACGGGCAGGTAAGTGGCAGGTAACTGGCTAAAGGTTGACTCAACCTTCCATCCTTCCGAGGTCGATAAAATGAGGACCCAGATTGTTGGGGGCAATATGTTGACTGCTATAAACTGCTTAGAGAGGGCTGTAAAGCATTGTGAAGCAGTACATATAAGTGTTGTTGTTATTCAGTTGCAGGGGGAGCAACAGGTGCATGGGAGGGTTGGGGAGGATGTGGAAGAAGTGCAGAGTGGGTAGGGTATGCAAGAGTGCAAGGAGTGTGTTAGGCACAGTGCGGATCAGGGAGGGTGTGTGAAGTGGGAATCATGTTTGCAAGAATCACAACATGTATCGGGGGAAAGTGTGCAAGTGACTGGTACAGTGTGAGTACTAGTAGGACTGGATGGCAGGTGAAGGGGCATTACCTTCAGCAATTTGTGACCTTCCCTGCCCCAATAGGTTTCTAAGGAAGCTGGTGGAGAAAGTTTCAAATAGTGATCACATGGCTATGGAGTGCTTTGCAACTGGTTGTAAGTGTCAATGGGTCGCCAAGCAGACCGCAAGGATGCTGAGACAACTGGCACTCCGAGTAATCCCATTTCATTCAGCACCATTGTAACTTGTAGTGTTTGATGACTGAATGGTCGTAGGTTAAGGGCTAGCCGTATGTTAAACTGAGCCGTGTAATAAATATGTGAAAAAAACCTTAGTAGAATATGGAAAGTCTATCTGCATCATAGCAGTAAAATCAAAGTGATAAGAAAACCTGATAAAGGGACCACTTTTTTTTCCAAGGCCAGTTCCTTAACTTCAGAGATATGTGATGATGAGTTCAGGGCAGGGAAACTAGTTTCCATTAGAAGAGAATTTTAATTTATCTTTATTTATATAGCTGATTATATAGTTTTAACTGGGCAGATCTTTTTCCTCTGTCATACACACTTTTTGGTATCATAGTCTTTTTTAATAAAATAACCAGGTTGAATAGCAATATAAATCAGTACATTCCTTGAACCATATGGCCTGTTTGCCACAATGGGATTAAAAATAGAAAAAAAAAACAATGCATGCATTAAAAGCAAAAAAGGGGAAAAAAGACTGGCGTTTGAAAAATAAACCTTATAAAAGGCAAAGAGAAACATTGTCAGAAACAGCACAGAATACGACACCTTTGTGAAATTAAGCTACTTTCATTCTCACTTTTACAACATTTTAAAGTGCAAAAAAGCATAATATTTTTTTTAAAGGCTACATCATACAAGCAAATTATAATCCCCCTCGTGCTTAAAGATAATAAACTTAAAAGATATATATATATTTTGAAAAATACTGGAAAAGATGCCTACATTTATTGTGTAGCACCAAGAATCAATAACTGAAAACTCCAATAAAACCCCAATAAAAGTTATAGTAATTTATTTATGTTTTAATTTTCTGCCCTTTAATAGCAGAACAAATACATCCCTTGCTTTAAAAAGTGAGGAAAACGGTTTATTTGCCAGACTGCCAGGGGTTCCATCAATTTGGCATTGGAGTAAGAAAGAAGACATAATATGAAAGGAGAGAGAGCAAACACACCTGCGTGAACAAGATGGGAGACAATGTATAGCAATCATAAAAGACAAAGAGGCAATGCAAACAGAGAATTATGGGTCTCTCACACACCTACACACTGAATTATCTTGGTCTGATGCGCTACGAAACTGGAGGAACACGGTCGCTTCCAGGCTGCTCCTGGACCAAAAGCTTCTCTCTGCACAGGGTGTGCCAAGGTGGGCTGCAGTGAGGAGGCAGAGATGTTGCTGCGACAGTTTGGAATTAGTCCTCTGGTGGTGACCTTCAATATCCAAAGGTTTCCTGTGAAGCATAGACCATGTAGAGGAAGCCATCTTCATCCTTCTCTTGCTCATAGATCTCAGAGATTGGGGTAGAAACGCTCACCATGCTGTGCTGGTTTACCAATAGGAAGAAAGCCTGGGTTGGATTCAGTTGTAGTCGGCGCCTGAGGAGGTACAGAAGGCAATTATTGAGCCTAAAATAGCATAATGGAGCATGCACAGCTAATTCTAGTTAAATATAAATGAACGAGCTATGGGGCATCAATACCATAAATGTCTAAAAACTAACAGGCGTGTCAGTGCTATTTTATTACATGTTCTACCATTTAATAAATCTGCCCTACTAAGTTTTCTTTCTTTTTCTAATTTGCTTGTGTTTTTTTAAAAAAAGTCTTCATAATGTAGGCCACGTAGCAGGTCAGTATTAATGGTAATAAGAGCATCTTAAGATATTTAATTGGGAATGGTATTCCCAACACATCCTGAAGACAGTATGCTTATTTGAAATTGATTTTGCAATCATGCTGCCTTCAGAATGTGTCGGACTGCCATTCCCAGAGATTGGGGGAGGAGGGGGGAGTCGTATTGGCGAGGTTCAGATTGGTCAAGGATGCTTTACCCTTTTCATTCTATAGTTTACTCCCACTTTGGACACTTGACAGTTTCAAGCACTCAAATTTCTATCACACATAATGATGGAAGCTTTGCAAAATATATCTGCTGCCTTGCTTTAACTGTCATGTGTCTCTGCCACACACATTAATCATCTTGGAGGGCCTCCAAAGTGTCCTTCTGTGTGATTTGCACACAGTTGCAGCAAGAACTAATCCAAATGACGACTATGGAGCTATGAAGCTCTTTTAACTCTCAAAAAAGTGCAATTTCAGGGAAGAGGCAGAAATTTGATATACTTCTGATTTGATAACTGCATCTTGATAAATGCAGGCCGGTGAATTAGGCAAAATGCAGATAAAGAGATATTGCAAATCTGCATCCTCAATGCAGGGTTATCTAATCTCCAAGACAACTACCCATCTTCATAGAAGACAGAAATGCAATTATAATCCTTATATTTCTTTGGGAACCAACTGGGGCCGGCTTAAATGAAGAGATGGGTTGCAACTCCTGGTGCTACTGGTTTGCTTGTGAGCGATGCTTCTGCGCCCGGGCAGGTGGGCAGAACCTCCCGCCACCACCACTACCGATTCGCCTGATCCAGGACGAACCGGGAGCAACCCACCTCTGCTTGAATGGGTGATAATCTTCCAAACAACTACTGAGCAGCAGCAGGCAAAGAATTATGGAGGATTCCCATCTATAACTGGGAATGTGTATTACTTCGCTGACTTCAAAATGTGGTAAGCCAGCCATTTATACATTTGGGAACACTCTTAGTCATTCTAATCCTTGCCACTCTAAACTTTTGTCCCCAAATCTTCCCATGACTTGAGCAGGGTTCCTTTCTTCTGGGTGAATGAGGAGATGGTTAAAAGGCAAGGTACTCTATAGCAAAAGGGAAGTTGCTTTCACACCACAGGCCAGGGAGTCTCCAAATTTGGCAACTTTTAAGATTTGGCTGGCTGAGGAATTCTGGAAGTTGAAGTTCACAAGACTTAAAAGTGGCCAAGCTTGGCGATCCCTGCCATAGGCAACCAAATTGTCAGCACTATTCTACTCAAAAGGAAAGATGCTCCTTGGTCATATGGTATTGAGAAGCAAATCACAGCTGCTTTGAAGTATTTCACTTACCGTATTATTTTTACCAATTCACTCATATTGACATGATCAGGAACTAGAAATTTGGTCTTATCCAAAACAGGTAGCTGCTTCTCCCCTTTGTATCTCTCAATAATGACCTAGAGGAAGAAATGTGGTGCTGTCAGATTTTTTCTTGCCCAGCAAAATCAAAAAAAGAATCCTTTTTAAGGCAGCAAACATTATTAATGAACAAGTAACAATTTTTTGGATCCACACAATTAAGACAGAGAATTGGATCCTTTTTTAACATATTTCTTCCAAATTATCTTGTGAGATGTTGAAGTTTGCACTCAAAATCTAATTAAATTTCAAATGAGAACACAAAATAAGCAAAATCCACTGGTCTCGGGAGATTTGAAACATTTTAATATTTTACATTTTTTTAAAAAAATCTAAGGGTCCCAAGAGGTGCTTTGAAGGAGGTGCAGGTGCTGTACCACTCAGCTGATTAATGTAAGAAGTTTGTAAAAGCTTTCTTTAATAATGATGTAGAGTCTGTAAAAAGGAAAGCAGGGAACCATTGTTTTTCATCAGTAGAAAAAGAGCAATTAAAATGATGTTCAATCATGGCAAACTCAAAGCCATATCATTATAATTTTGCTTTATCATTATTAGTACTTCCTTATTGTGTGATCATAGAAAGAAAAACTTCCATGATGATCTAAATAAAACTAAACCCCAGAAATCTGTTTCTTGTACAATAAAATATATTTAAGGCCAAATTAAAATTCTGCAATAAGCAACTGCGTTTGTTCTTACTCAAAAGTGTGACTTCTAGCCATAGTCTGATAGCATATGAACATCAAACTCTACCTTTGGATATAGATGGCTGGAGAATCCCTACTTGAAAGCAGATGATCACCCAGATAAATTCTATGTAATCCTAATGGTTATTCAGAGGTCCTAGTTATGTAAACTGCTTGCATTTAGGAGGTTTTCTTCAAACATCTGCATTCCAGCCACATGATATTTGACAGTAAAAACTGTATTCCATGACACTAACACATGGAATGTGACACAAAAATAGAGAGGACTTTCTCACTTTGGAATGACAGACACATATGCAGCAACACTCATGATGGAAAGCCAAGTTTAAGCCTTATTTTTCCAATGATATCCTAGTTTTTCATATTTAGTTTTGTGTTCCTTTTACTATGGAAAAAACTAATATATAGTGATTGCCTCTTTTCGTTTTGCTATGTCTGCTTATATTCCTTTACTGTATTTTACCAGCTAAATTGTTTGCTAATCTTGCTCTTTTCACAATTCTTTCTGTCTATTGTTGTAATCCATATACATTAACTGTGCTTGCCTACCTATCAAAAGTGCCGACTCTATTTATGTGCCAATTCTTAATCAGGTCACCAAAGATTTACAATGTTTGCAGCTGCACTCTTTATTTCAAAAGAAAAAGGAAACTTAAGTGCTGTATGCAATATACAAACAGTTGCTTAATTCTGTGCAATATTAAAGAGGACTGTTGTTTGTTTTGACACTCCCCATTATCACAGAAAGGAGACAGTTGATCACTCACTTGTATTGGGGCTGTATGGTGCTTTGGATGCATAGATTACTCTTAATTGCTTCTTTGAGTTGTAAACTTAGGTTTCCCTTCAGCTGTCAGTGATATCATCTAGCCACCTCTCTGTCCCCTGTAAGCTTCTTTTTCAGTTGGCCCTCATTTTCCCAAGAAGTGTCTTCTCCAGTGACACTTGCCTTCCCATTATGTATCCAAAAGGCTTTAGCTTCGTTATTAATGCTTTCACTGAGTAATATGGCTTTACTTAATCTAATATTGAATTATATCATGTATCAGAGGCATAGATTTTTCTCTGCTCATATTTGCACAGCTATATATCAAAACGAGAAAAACCATGGCCTTGGCAACATGTGATGTTGTTAGTGTGTCACATGTTAATGTCTCACTTACTGTCTAAGAGAATTTTTGAACCTGGGAAGAAACAGGGTTTGCTACTACTTCCACTGCGCCACCATGGCTCATGGTAGGACTATAAAGATATTATCAGAACACTGCCATTCTTTCCTAGGAATGCTTAAGTTACACTTGGAGCCAAATAAAACCTAACCCTAAATATGTACCAGACTGCCCCATGATGCTGCTCTTTTCTCAAAAGAAACCGTGGAATTCGTACTCTGAACTAGAACCAGAGTACGAGCATGTGAGACACAGTCCTTTGCCCCCTATGGTCAAAATCAGAAAAAGTTACATAGCAATAATTGGTAGGGCCAAAAATGGAGCCACTGATTTTATGCACATGTGGCTTGTAGCCAGATCTAAGCTATAAGCAGCTACAGCTTTTTAACCAACTTGACTCAACAGTGTTAATCTTCAGTCTTCTGTGTTTGTATTTTGATGTTTGTGAATTCTCCGCTCCAGAAATGTGCAAAACTGAATAAGGACAGTTATTTTTATTTCTTTTTATACCTAAAGTGGACACATTTCTTTCCAGCAAACAATTACAAAAAATATGTGAATGACTTTCAAGCCCTGCAAAAGCTGTGACAAAGCTGTTTCCAAAAGGCATAGACAAGATTGTGATGTTTTTGAAATATCTTTCTCCCCTATCCCCTCGTGGCTCATTTTAGGCAGCCTAAGATGTCTGTAATTCTTCTAAAATTAGCCGTCTACCAACATATATTATATTTAGGCAAAGACTGTGTGGTCCTGAGACCCTGCAGGACACAGGAATTGGCAAGTGGGGGAACTAAAATTAATGTAGAAAAGGAGAAAATAGCTTCGGAGAGAGATATGATAGTGCTGAATCACTTCAGGCATTAAAGATTATTATTTTGAAGTACAGCAAAAGCTTTGGTGTCACCTCCTCGGGGGCTATGAATTTGAGATCAAGTTTAGCATCCAGAAAATCTTAAAAATGAATTCCTAGTCTAGCTCTCCCCTTACTATCTGCTAGCAAGAAAGCTGGACTGGAATTACATCCAACAGCATTCACATCGTTTCCCTTCTCCAGGACGGAAGTTTGTTTAAATGTAGAATTTGGGTTTAATTCCTTCACTTTTATTACTTCTACCATTACTAATAAAAATGACACAATCTGACTAATTTTTAAAACAGAAGCAGGACAGACTTTCACCTATTCCTTCCCCCCCAAGTCATTCACATCAGATTCATATGTAAATTGGCAGATTTCTTGGACTCAGTATCACATGTATGACATCTGACACTTAGAGAGAACTTAATACAGCAAACCTGTGATAGATCAGCTGCCAATCTGATCTCACCCTGAACTTGCTTTAACTCCAGTGTATACCAGCTCTTGAATCAGGATTTAAAATCCTACAAATAGTACTAGAGACCCTCAACCTAATTTATAACCCTCAACCTAATTTATAACCCAGACATTTTCATAGCTTCTTTGCATGAAAGTCAGCTTCTTAGTATCAGGTGATTAGAAAAGAAATCAAGACTAGAGACAAAGTATTCAATTTAGATACAATTCCACAGCACATCAAAATAATAAAACATACACGGTGACATCACAATACAAGCTTTTTGTACTCCTGTTGCAATGTCACACACAAGGATGGAAGGGGAGATGTTTGCACCACAAAGTCATTGTGCAAGTTTATCATTTTCCCCTTCTTGCTCTCTTGCTTGTCTCTCTCCCCACCATTGCTTATGTTTATAACATATTCTTTACCTAAATTGGAGCAAAATAAATTGGAGGAAGTTAGCTCTATCAGTTGAGTGTAAGGTAGTGAAGTAGATGCTTTAGGGATGTATTCAAAGAACAGTTCAAGGTTTAACAAAGGCACACATTTAGCTTTTCCTATTCACCTTGCATTGGAGAGGTTGGTGGGAATGCTAAGGGTTACAGTGTGAGAGACACGTTTAAAAATTATAAGATTTCTTAATGTGTTTTCAGTCACTTAAAGAGGTAAAGCATTATAACCATTTCAAAACAGTTAAACCATGTGCTTAAATCAGTAAGCTCTAATGCCTGATATGCGAATTGTGATCTGCAATGCAGCCCTAACATAAATCAAGTTGTTTGGAAATGTTTTATTTATTTTTATTTTTCTTAATTGGTACAATCATACCTTGGCACTCGACTGCTTCAAAGCTCATTAAATTTGGCGTTTGACACATTCTGAAGCAGAAAACGTGTCCTGGTACTCATCTTTCTCTTGATAGTCAATGTGCAAGGAATAACTTGCTGAAGTTGGCTGCCTTGTGACTCGCTATTTCTTCTGGCCAAAACAGTGGGTCATGTGGTTTTCTTGGTACTCATCGGTTTTAGTATTTGTCGTGTTTCCCAGAATGAATTACCGATGGATACTGAGATACCACTGTATTCGGCCCACTGTACACTAAAAGCAGCTTACAAAGAAATTATATATTTATATATTTAAAATTGTAAAACATATAAACAGTGTGCCATACTGAAAATGAGCAGGAAAAATAAGGAAAAGAGCCAGTAGTTGTAGTGGTTAAGGATCACACTAGAAACCGGGGGTGGGGAGGGAATGTGAGTTCTAGTCCCAGTTTAGGCATGACAGCCAAATGGGTGACTTTGGGCCAGTTACTCTCCCTCAGCCTAATCCACCTCACAGGGTTGTTGTTGTTGTTGTGGGGGGAAAAGGAGAAAAAAGGAGCATTAGGCTGTGTTGTCAGCTATGGATTATGAAAATAATAAAGAGACAAACAAACGAATAAATAAATAAATAAATAAATAAATAAATAAATAAATAAATAAATAACACCAGCAGACTTCAATAATAATTATGAACCAGTTAACACTTGTTCCATAGGGCTGACAAACCTTTTGAAAGATGGCTTTCAGATTGCACAGCATCTCTTTTCAAATTGTTAAAGCAGGTGCATCTTTTTTTGAACTGGCACAGCTGTTTCAGAAACTGCTCCCAGCTATCTCTACTGTACATGCATGAGCACGATTAGCCCTTTAGCTCTGTACTTCAAAGACAGCCAGAAACAGCTTCTGAAGTATGTGAGAGCTGGGTGGATGAGGGAATGTTTCAATCATTTGAGAGAAGAGCTACTGTATATTCTGGAGCACTTTTTGGGGGGGAAGGATTCATACTATTAACAAAGGCCCACCTATCTAATATATTGGCTGAAACACAAATGCTGTATAGGATAGGTAATTGACACAGAGCATTTCATCATTACATTTAATTAGGTATTTCATCATCCATTTTAAACTGAGGCATAGCATTAACATTAAATATCCCAACAACAATCTCTTTACATTAATTTCTTGTTCCCTTTTTGCCCAGAAATGAGTCTGGGATGCTTATTTTGACTGTCACATTCTACGTGATATCTTTGTGCAATATTGATACCATCAAATTTTTGATTAATATTCACATAACTTAATTGTTGATTAATAAAAGTTTGCAGAACATGCCTATGCAATTTTCTGCCCTGGGCAATAACATTTGGGGCATGACTAGTGAAAAAAAGAAAGAGGAGCTTAAATTATTTTATTATCTAAGAACAATAAAGGAAAACAAGAAAAAAATAGAGGATAATTGATGGCAAGCCTGTAGTATGCAGATTTAGTGCTTTCCAGTATGTTTATATATTAACATAATGTAATAAGCAAAACATGATACTTCCATGCATGTAATCAGTTATTACTATAGCAATGGAATATTCACATATGAATAATAACGCAATAAAAATTCCAGTCTCAAAGAATTTCTTTGGAGGAAAAAACTTAGAAGAAAAATTAAATGGGACACAAGAGAGTTCCTATGGGGCGAGTCTTATGGGAGTCAAAACATTTCTGTTCATCTCATGTAATAAACAGACAAGCAATTTTGCTTTTTGCTCCCTATCATCACAAGAGGTGATTTATTACAAGAGTAAAGTTGGCCAAACCTTACTCCCATTAGGAGACTGGCCAAAAGCAACATCTTCCTCTTCGTTCTTAACTTGGCATGAGATCTGCCTTGGTAAGAGGAGATAAATGTCATAGCTTGACACCATCCCAATCACCACTCTTCTGCCACATATTTCAGAGGCTTGAGGGGTAACACTCTTCCTGTCCCCCAAAGACTGGATTCAATTGTACTGTGACTCTGATTGAACCCAGATCAAAACCCAGGTACTTATTATCATGTGTGGTGGGCTTGTATGAAAGCAAGAAAATATTGGAACAAAATACGTACGCGGTTGGAAAATATGATTAAGCAAAATATAGATCTGAAACCAGAAATATTTTTGTTGGGTATAATGCCATAGGGTTATGATAAAGGGACTATATATTTAGTTTTGCATGTATTGACAAGAGCAAGGATTGTGTTTGCACAATATTGGAAAAATAAGAACACTTCATCAGATGAGCATGTAATTCGAAAAATATTAGACTGTGAAGAGATGGATAGATTGATTTGAAAATTAAAAGACAAAAAAGAGGCATACTATTATTTGACATGGAACAGATTTTATGAGTGGTTGGAGATAAGAGGTAGAAATTAGATGAAGAAAGATTAGTGCTATGTATGAATTAAATATAAAGATGGTTTATAATTATAAATATGCTTATATAATTAACAGGATTATGAATAAGCTAATATAAAGCAGAAATTGAACCAAAATTATTCTGTTACATTATTACTATTGTTATTATATGTGTTAATATTTAATTTTGTTTTCTCTTTGTTTTTCTTTTGTAAATGATATACCCTGACAATATACTGTATTCAAAATATTTATGATTTTTTTTAAAAAAAGTTTCCTTTTTAAAAAGAAAATAACATTTATATAGCCACTCCCTAAACTTAGCAATATATACAGTCAAATGGTCAGTGTGGAAAAAAACAGGGAATGCTTCATGATCCTGGCATATGACGTACCAGACACTTCTTATGTTTCAGGGATTTATATAAATTGATTTAAAAGCATCGATAATCTTCTTTACTTACTGGAATTTTGTTTGGATGCTGTTCTCGGATCTGCTGTACCTCTTTACAACGATCCGCTGTAAAAAGGAAGCATAATTAATTTTAGGAATTCAAAATAATTTTCTAGCCTACTGTTCATATTCAACAGTTTTATAAACCTCAGAAAAAAAATATGGAAGAGGGAGTGGTGATTCTAAGCAGTTTTTTAAATTAAAAAAAACATTAATCTTACCAATCCAAATATAGTGGCATGGTGTCAACAGTAATACTTATAAAGAAGAACATTTAGTATGTTTAATTGTTTAAGCCATCTGAATACAAGCCCTCTTGACCTGTTCACCAAGAATGTGAATTTACTAATCCCTACCCATTTGCACCTCACATTAAAAAAAATAACTCTCTTTTTATGACCCTTAATTCTGGACAGAGTCAGGGAGATTAGATGGAGCTGAGCTTTTACTGGCCAGGTGCCCTTCCTGACACCTATACCGAGCTCATAGCAAATGTTTTTTCTTTGCGCCCTGGGAGAGATACATCTGCAACTACCTAGGATTGAACCCTCAATCTTCCAAGTGGGAGGGTGAGCATGTTTACCACTAGGCCACTACTCTGGTCTATTTGTACCTTATATATAATGGATCCAATACCTTTTAATCTATCAAGAAAGGTAGAGATAAAATTCTGCAATAATAACTACCTGTTCTTGAAGCATCTGTCATAGTGCAATGTAAAATGAATTATGGCCTGCCTTCTGCCAAGATATTTACTTGAGCAGCAATAATTTTAGTATCAGATTATGTATTTTAAGGATTATATAGCCTGTTTTGTTCCAAAAAGGGAGCTCTTTACCCAGCTTCTATCAACACAAAACACAGGACTGCCCCCCCCCCCCCATGGTTGTTTTTTTTTTTTTTAGTTTTTATTTTGCCTTCTTTAAAAGGATGCTATGGGTGCTATACTATTCAGTAAGCCTTGAAAAATGAATCAAGCAAACAATAAAAATCCACTATTTTCAATCTTGTCCTTTCTGGAGGGTTTTGGGGCCACAATGACCAAAGGCAGTCTTGTCCTTAATTTTCCTATCTTTCAGTCTTCTACCTCACAGGTAAGTAGAAGATAAGATATGATCTACCTCAGTTCTATTTAATTCTTTCCAGCAGATCTGCAACAATTTCCAATTCTTGAACATTTCTAGTTTCATGTTAATTTGCTTATTTCACAACCTTCTTCTGCAAAATAGGAACACTAACCTATTTTGAACAAAGTTGTTCGTTTTCAGCTCTTCAAGCTTACTTGTTGTGTTAAAATTCCTAAATCACATAGACATTTCTGCATATTTCATATGTGATCATTTGACTCAGCCCCCTGAACCAGGATGAGGAATGCCACTGTCAATGAACTACATAGTAAAAGTTTCGCTGCAAAACATATTTCTAGTCAAGCTAGTTTTTAGAGGTAATAAATTAGATTCGACTAAGAGGATAGCACCTGACTGGCAAGGTCTAGAAACACAATACTGTAGACTAGACAGAGGCCCTGGAAGCACAGAAAGGCCAATGCAAACAAACTAAAAACTATCACCTGCAATAAAAGGATTCTGGGAGAGCTGATAAAAAGCAGAGAGCTCAAAGCTATGTTTCCAAGAAATTTCATTATTAACAGCAAGGAAGATAACTTATTAACTTTGCCCAGTGTCAGATACTGTTCCACTTGTTCACATGCAAGAACAGTTTCGTTTCCTGGAAGCAAAACACAACACCATCACCCTAACTCATGATCAACAAGTCAGTGCTAAGGACTTCTAGGTGGTTTGTTTACTCCCAAAGGATCATGTGAATATTTTTGCAAGAAGCTATCTTAAAAAGGGGGGTGATAGCAATTACTATTAGCCAGCACAATATTTACAGCCAAAGTACTGAGATTAAAATAAATTTGAAATCTTAAATACGTACATTCAAGCACTTAACTGAAGACTAGCCAAATTATTCAGTTAGTGCAAAGTATTACATGCTGGAGCTTCCTTTTTCCCACAATATGAATGATCCAGATTACTGAAGAACAAAGTCAGAACTGGCTTTGTGAGTTTCTTGTGAACTTTATATTTTGATACCAGGAAGGATGCTGACTTATTAATGATTGAAACAAATATTCTAAGCAACTGTGTAGGTTTCTCATTTCATATGCAACAGGGAAAGAAATACAGTTTGTTTGATGACAAACAAGCCTGATGTTACCTTGTTTGGTAATGAAACATTTGCAAGAAAGCAACCAAGCTCAGAGAACACCAAGGACTCTACAGTTTGTTTATTTAAAATGTTTATATAGTCACCCATCTTATATCAAACTCTTGAGGGTTCCCAAATCAACAACTAGAAAACAGAACTAGGAATTCTTAGAAGCACACATTTCTAGTATCTGACATAATATGACTTAGAAATTGATATCCTGCCTGTAAATATTGATTAACTATTTACCACCTTAACATAAAACTGATTGGCTTAGATGCTTCCAAAGAGCCTTTGGAATTCATGAGTCATTGTTTGGAAGCTGCCTAAAAATTAGAGATGTGCCTAATCTGATTCTGGGAGTGTTTTCACCTAGAACAGCCCATTCTACATATTCTAAGAATTGGCTTCTGCCTTTACTCAACCATATTACCCAGAACAGGGAGTGGCTGGTCATGTTCCAGAGTCAAATCACTCAATTTTTAAAATCATTACTGTTAAGTAAGCTCCCCGTTGGGAGAGCGAGTGTATTCAGAGAAGCGTTGTGAGAGTGGTGTTGGAGAATACACAAACTGGCATACAGAGACACTGCAGTTTAAATAGGCTTTTACTTTTGTGGAAATAGAGGTATCAGAGTCCTTCAAACAGTCCAAGTCATGCACGGTTAAGACAGTCAGTCATCAACATCTTATGGTTAAGAGATAATCCAAATAACGTAGTCCATAATCATACAACGCTTCTCTGAATACAC